ATCTCTTGGAGGCGTGGAACAACTAATTTCTTGCTAAATTAAATGTGCAGTGGTCCTGTGGGGCTTCACAGGGTAGCAAAAACACAAACATACCACAAGCAGTGAAACATACATATTTTTCACAGAAAGCTTCAACTTTTTCCCCAAAAAATTTAGAAGTAGGCATAAAAAATTACCATATGTAATTTAAAACTGCAAGACATTCTTATCTCTTCTGTTTAAATATAAGTAAAGCCAACTTGTATTACTAAATCTGAATAATACAAATCAGCATGTTTTAATCAAACATTTACTTACAAGCACATATACAACTGAAGCAGCATTAAACATTACCTTCAATTTGGTTTCTTCTTTACTCTCAATCTTTTCAACATTCGTCTTGGATAAGTTACATTTCTAGCATACAAACGTAAAACTAAACTTATCTAAAATATAAGGCAAATCAAATGAAAAAAATGTCTTATAAAGCATTGTAATGGCCCATTTGAGAACTGAAATAGCCAGAAAGTTGGTGAAACTGGACTTTTACTTGCCGATAAAGGCAAGAATCAACATAATACCAATCAGTATAATGCAGACGTGCAGTACGAAGAAATTTCATTGCTCTAATTTCTTTAGATGAAATTTAAGATAGTACTCACCAATTCTTTCCTAAGTTGAACAAAAAACTGCTTGCACTTAAAAGAAATTTTTACAATCTTCAACCTAAATGAAAAATAAAATCATAATATTTAAACACGTATTATATTGATGCATGGTTAAAGGCTGAAATACACTTACTGAAAACATACTTTCTAGAGAGAACAGATTTCATTTCATTTCCATGAAATTTCCATAGGAAAAAACCCCAAAACATTATATAAAACAGCCTGTATAATTTTAAATTTATGAGTCGTATATTTAAGTTACCTATCAAATTCATTTGTTTCCATCCTAAACCCAAAGCAGTTTCTAATTTAAGTATCTTTTCCCAGTTCCAAAGTCCAAGTTCTATCCCGAGGTCATTCCAACTAGATGCTCTCTTTTCTGAGACGGCTTTCATTATCACTTAGAATATGAAAAAATACTTTGAACTTCACCTGATTCTTGAAAGACATTCTCGCTCTATGTTCTTACATGCCTTTAAATATAACCAGAACTTGCTTTAGTAAAATAGCTAAGACAAGATGTAAGCATGGAGATAAGGGCCTGCAATCTTGATATTTACAAAGTTAAAAAACAAAACAAAAAAACTATGAGAAGGAAAATACATTTAAAATATCACATGACAGTGAAAAATCAGTCTACAGATCTTTTCATCTTGCAGGTTATCTACAGACATACGAGATGCTGACAGTAATTCCAGACAATTTTGGATGGTCACTGCAATGCTAGTTATGCTAAATGGGAAAAGACAGACCATATTTCAGTCACAATCTAATTATCAACTTTTTTCAAAGAAATGCAATATTATGATAGTGCGCAACCTTTATTAAATATACAGGAGTATTCTTTTGGTCAAGAATAAAAGCAAGGTTACAATTGTGACAAGAAAAACCACAGTAACTTCTGTGACTTTGAAAAGGAACAACTGATATGATACTGCAAAGTGTAGAACACTAAATTTAAATGTTATCTCACTCAAAGGAGATTTTGCTGACAATTGTCATGAAACTCAAAGCAAAAGAGAATCTAGATCACAGAGTTAACTTGTGGGAAATTACACATCAAACTCTCCAGGGGTTACAATCAGCCTTTTACACAGCATGTTTATACAGTGCACCCTTACTAATCAGAACTGTCATCTCTGATGGTCTCTGTACTTCAAGTTATTATATTGACTTGGTAAAGCTACATAAGAAAAAAAAAAAACCAAAAACACCACCACCCACCAAAACCCACAAACAACAAACCCAAAACCAAACCAACCAAAGACCCATTAGTGAAGACAGTGCTACAATTTTTGAGACAAAAACTTATTCACAAAGAATATATGGGAACCTCAATAGTGATTGGAATTACTACTTGCATATTAATCACCTTGTTGAATAAAAAACCCTCTAGGCTAGGAAGGATGAGATACCTAAGACACCTAACAGACACCTAAGTCTGATACCCATATCTAGAAATTATCCTCTTAACTAAATCAAATGGAGATGTTTTCCTCCAGGGGATTATTCAGAGCAGGAACTTGGACGTCCTAATTTATTGAGAGAACTTCTATCTCAAATAGCATAAAGGGAGTCTGTGAACATTAGTCTTTAAACTATGCTTACTTAAATCTTTTCCCATTTCTTTTTTCTTTCCTAGCTTGGCCATTGGTTAAAAATCCAAAAAAACCCAAACAACAAAACCAGCATCTATAACTTTGTCCTGTTTCACTTTTTTTGGAG